TAAGATAAATGCCAAAATATTGAATGTAGATGCCCGCAAATATTTGCGTACTTAAAAATAATGGCGTTTACAATTTAATATTTGTTCTGAAATTTAATTTGTTTTGAAATTTTTATTTGTTTTGAAATTTTAATATTTAATTAATAATAGAACTTGATAAAGGGACCATTCAGTTGCTTAAATAATGCGCGATACGGCATCGCCTAGGGTGCGTTAGGCGCGGCAGAAGCTTGCCTGAACATTGCTAGATCTTACACTTTGGAGAGGAAACAATTTAAAAGACCGCTGGCGGCGAATCAGCTTGTACAGAAAAAACTGGCGGACATGATGTGCGACGTCGCGATCGGTCTTCAAGCTTGCTTACGAGTCGGCAGACTGAAGGATGAGAATAGGTAAAATACACTTAAAAAAAGCGAAGCAAAAAAAGTCTAATCTGAATAACTAACGTAATATATTACCAGGAAATATTTTCTGTATTCCTATAATAATACTTCCTCCATTGTACGTAGGGTCTAAGGGTGAAATCACACGGTGCGGAAAAGAAAATATGTCACAAAAGCAACCAATCAGCTTTATTCTGCGTTATTCCGAATAGCGCTAATTGGTTGTTTCAATGGGCGCATTCAGCGGACTCAACAGTTGAGTGTGAGTGCCATGCTCGCTGTAATTAGTTTATTCTTTTAACTCATCCAATCAGAATTTTAGATCTAGAAGAATATACCAATAACAGCGAGTGCTCACTCAACTGTTGAGTCCGCTGAATGACGCATTCTTTGTTCTGCAATCATTTTCCGCACCGTGTGATTTCACCTTAACACTAAAGTTAACTATCAAGTTGAGATTAACACTCAACATCCAAGTTATCAATAACACTCAAGTTGAGAGTTATACTCAAGTTGAGCGTCCAAAATAATTTGGCATTAATTGAGTGTTACCTTGAGTGTATTTTTTCAATGTTTTTTAAAGTGTAAACACTCAAATTTTAAGAGTTTTTTCCGTAAGGGATGCCCTTGGAGCCGTGAATATTCGGTTTGGCCGTCGACGTGGAAACATGGCCGGGAACTCACCATGATTTTCTGCGCTTGGGGTTATCGTAATGAACCCATTTTTCGTCCCCAGTCACAATGCGATGCAGAAATCCCTTTCGTCTTTGCCTTTCAAGCATCTGTTTACAAGCAAACAAATGCCGTTCAACATCTCTCGGCTTCAACTCGTACGGCACCCAATTTCCTT